CACCTACACACCCACACCCACACCCACACCCACACCCACACCAATAAGGTGAATAACAAGGTTGAAAATTATCCTTCAGGACGCATTATAATAATTAAATATGCATTAATTCCAATCCAAAAGATTTTTTAGTAAGATTTTTTGGCATGAACTTTGATCGAATGAGTTAAAACCAATATTTATTGAGGTTGAAATTTGGAAATATTAAAATAAGTTGCGGTAGAGTTATTTACGTGCAAATATAAAACTTTGAAAGTTAGATATTTGAGCTCATTGAAATAGTTTTTTCTAACAGAAGTGTGTAAAGCTTGAGCGAAGCATCAAGACAGCTTCCATTATCAACTTAAACATGGAGTTCGATAATTGAAACTCAAGATTTAGACTCCGAAACTGCTGAATATGCCGTCAAAGTGACTGCATTTGCCTGGATGAGGAAATCGTTTACAAGACAACCGGTTGTTACGAAAAACAAAACCCGATTTTAGCTAATAAATCTCTAAAACTTTCTCCAGAGGCAGAGATCTTCGTAAAATGCTAGTTCACACTCACTAGCGAGTTCGGCGTCTTAGATCGCCTCGAATAAGAATTAGTGATAAGTTCTCACAAATTTTGGTAAAAACTCGCCGTGTCATATAACTTCAAAGACGTAAAGTTTCTCTGCCTTTAGTAAAATTTCTTGAAAAATCGTCAAAACTCGAACTTAGTATACTCAGGAATCAAAATTTTTTCAAGTACTTTTTTCTTGTATATCACTCAATTTCAATTGAATTTCGAATTATTTCAAATCTGTAGAATTGATCACATTTGGTATTGTTGTGCTTTCAGAGAGAACTTCTGCTGTCCAAGGTAGAAATTCTGGTCATCGTTTTGAGAAAGACATTTTGCAACTTTTGATTTAAGCCAAATTTATCCATTTTCTTGTCTTATCAATATGCACGCTCTACTGTTTCTTTTTTCGCTTTTTGTTGGGTCTTTCTACTCTCGTAATATTATAAGCTGAACAGATTTTGGATATTGAGTAAGTTTTTTAAATGTCTAGTTCTTTGTCTACAAGCAGTAAGATAAAGTGATATCACAGTGAAGTACCTTTGAATCACATCCGGTTTTTTTTTCTTTTTTTGTAGTTCTTTTTTTTCTGAGCTGGATAGAAAAAGCATGATTGCAACAAATATCAACAACTGAAAATCGCTTTCATCTTTCGGGCTTTTTTCAGTCTGTATTGAATTCAGATTAGCGATGCTGCAATCTGTCAATCTTTGAGGCTCGCGAGAGTTTTTGTTCGCATTTTACAAGCTGAAAAAATGCGCCTCTTTTTTTCCTCTTTTTTATTGAAAATCCTCTTTTCTCTGACAACGAAATTCCTCTTTTTTCCTCTTTTTCGACGAGCTGTCGGTGGGATGCCAGGACAATAGATAAATGTTTTTTTTTGCAAATTAAACTGAATCTACCAAGGTATTCACTCTTATACCCACATGCCTAAGTCCTGTATTACGTATACAAGAACTGTTGTATTTTTAGTGAAGCTTTCAAATATTATTTGACGATTAAAATGAGATCGTCATATTTCATGATCCCATTGAATGCGCCTTTATATAGTTCAATTGTGATTAGTAAACATAAATACACAATCTAGTTCTTAACACAAAATGATCAGTAATTATTTCCGAAGCTGACCAACCATGTGACAAGATAAAAGCTAGATGGACAAGAGCCTCTTGTCAGACGATAACCATAACATGTTGTACCAGTATCATCATTGTTTGTTTGCATTCTACATATAGTTGTCGATTAATGTTCGATTCCTTGCTGTACCTTGTAACATCAAGTCATTTTACTATGATTACTTCATCTCACTAACTACTCGTATCGTTTTTATCCATCTGGATAACCCTCTAACCATAGATCGCGTTCACCATATTTTTGTTCTCCAGCACGCACAGCAAGACCACATATAGTACCAAATAAACCAACTTTTGTATCTGCATCAATTTTTGAACAAAATGATATTGCACCTGTTCCTGTTTTACCAATTAACCATATATTGTAACCATATCTAGTCGAACATGTGTCAATCTCTAGATTTATTCCATCACAATTGTTAACGTCCATTGATCTTACAACATGACGCTAACTTCATATATATATGTATTTGTTTTCTTTTGTTCCTGCAATAAATACATACGTATATATCTACCGTTCTATTGATCATCATGTCTTTATAGTGATCATCTCTTTTTCTTCTTTGATTTTCCTATCTCTTTCTATTTTTCGTTCTCTTCTTTCTCTCTTTTTCGCCTTGATCACAGTTATTGTGATAACTACCTTCAGTCTTGTTTTTCTTCTGATCGTGATTATACATCTAGTCGTGTCGTCTGTGATTTTCTATCATCATCATCTATTAAACAAAATTTCAAAAACACCTACATAAAGGATTTTATTACAACTTATATTTCATCACCTGAACAACAATATACAGTAAGCATTTTATTGTGAGTTCTCTCAAGATAAGCAAGTTTAGATCGTTAGATTTCATATTTGAGCCTTTCTTCAACAACGGAGGTTGAAACCATTAGCTACATTCCCAAAAGGAGAACCTCACAACAATCGATACCACCCATGTAAAAATTTTTCGCAATTTAACAAAACTTTGTGACGTGACAATCCATTAAAAATTTAACGAGTTAACAATTAAAAATGTTACAATTTTGACCGTGTAAACGCATGAACGATGCAAAAAATTAACGCGTTTAAACACGTTTTTCTATGTTAAATTGTATAATCTTTAACAATCTTTTCACGCGGTAATTTATCCATAAATGCGTTAAATACGTTAACTGAAATATATATAACTACTCAAATTTTCTCATTGTTATACACTTCAAATATGACGAACTTCTTTCAATAAACGATGCATTTCTAAGTTTCATTCGTCTCAAGAGAAAAGGCTAAGTAATTAGTTCAATATCGAAAACGCTTTCTAATAAGATGCTTTTAAGAAAATTTTATTGTCAATACAATTATGAAATAATTGACATTCAAACCAGTATGAAATTACAGTAATTTTTTCTTTTCTCAATATTTCAACAGTTTAATTAGTTACGTCTTTATTCGCTATAGGTTTGCCTTGGTTACGTGTTATAAATATATTTCATAGCATCACCAATATGATAATACAATTACTAGTTTCAATTTTGAGGTATTGAAAAAAGAAAAAGTTTAATATAATTCCATGCTTATTTGAATGTTTAGGGTGTAGGTGTCTCTGTGAATCTTCTTTTTCATCTAATCATTCACACTCACACACACCGTTCAACTTGGCACATTTTATGCTAACAAAAAGAGTTTCATCGCGAATAATTACTAAATGAAGCTTCTTATTTCTCATGTAGTTTTCCGAAACAATAATAATTCTCTCTATATATTTGGGATATACTCCCAATTATTCATAACATAATTGAATCGTAAGTGTGTGATCTTTTTTTCTCAAGTATTTTTAAATGTTTTTTATAATTAATTGTTTGCTTTGAAATATTATGTGCAAGGGGAGTAAGTTTTATTTTATGGAAAAAAAAATTAAATTAAAAGAAAATGGTATTTTTTGAAATTAGCAAGTGTTATTATTGATGGTTAGTGATAATGGATGAATTCGGGATATGTGAGTGATAACCATGATAGACGAATTATTGATGTTGGTTTTTCTGTACTAATTGTCGAATACAATGTTGATATAAAAGTAAAATTCTTTCGTTAAATGTATTACGAAAGAATTGACTCGAGATAATCGATACATAAAAGGATGTGGCAAAACTAAAAAAATATAAAGAACCACCAAGTTGTTGAGCAAACAATTGTGGCGCAGATTCATGAGCTGGTTTATTGTTGATGATCGAATAGCTATATGAACCAAGACGTAGTAAACTAAGTAATATATTTAGAATCACTTGTATTATAATGATCTAAATTTTTCAAAATATATTCATTTATTATAATAAGGAATAAAAAAAACACATACCTCGACAAGTTTCAATTCTAAACGTTGTATTCTTTTATGATTGACTATGATTGCAGCTACTACTCGTTTATGTGATTTTCTGATAGTTGAAATAATTATAAAACAAAAAATCAACATAAAAAGATTAGGCAAAAATATAACAATAGTTATCAAATAGCCAGCAAAAACTAACGCATAGACACATCCTGGACTAATTTGACAAACATTATCATAAATATTATAAAAAATAAGTATATGTATTGAGATTATAAAGCCAACTATTAATGTACCAATTGACAACAGCTTTGCAGTTTTGATTTGACACCATCTACGCATTTTAATATTTTTCGAAATGGACAAACATCGATCAAAAGTCGCCAAAAGCATGTAATAAGAAGCGAGTGCAGGCAATGTCACCAGAAAATAATAACGTATTTTACAAAACATAGTCGATTGATTCGTCAAATTATTTGTAGATCGATCAACAGTCAAACGAGTCACAACACAAAATAGAATAGTGAATAGTTGAAACACTGACATACATAACAGATAGAATATAGTTGAAGATTGATGCATTTGTCGACCACTCAATGTAATTATATTACAAATACCACCAATTGTTCCAAAAATCAATGTGATCAAATCAATATAAAATGTTGTGTCGGAGATTATTTGCACTGGTATTGCTGAATAAATGCTATCATTCGACATAGATAATTATTTTTGTTTTAATAATCAAGTAAATGAAAGTAGTTCTTGAAATGAATTAAAATGATTATTGTCTTCATCTTTTTATATCATTAATATAAAGTTAACAAAAATGAATGTACCTAGTAACATTTTATCTATGATCTTCTCAATTAATTATTTCTTAAACATGTATAAGAAGTCTTTAATTATGAATATGGCATAGAAAAAAAACCGGGTTAAAGGAAGTTATTGTAGCACGATCTGTGATCATCTACGAAAGATAAATTTGAAAAGAATTGTGATATCCACAAAAGAAAAGCTTTTTCTCATAAATGTAATTATTTTTTCTTCAATAGAATCTTTTTGTTTACTGTTCACAGATTCTATATTTCTATTAGATAAAAATTCTAAACATAATCTTAACCTATTATCCCTCATTCGCAATTGGCATTGTCATTTTGTAGAATGATTGTAGAAAATAAAGAAAGCATAAGATTTGAAAACCGTAAGAACATTTTTTGTAGTAAATTCTATAAGCTATCGATTGATAAAAGAAATAATTTTTTTTATCGATCTGTCTTTAAAATATTCGATCAATAAAATCGATCATTTTTTGAAACAAATCGTTCTCTACTTATAGTAGATAAAGATCTTTCGGATTTTCTTTATAACATAAATTGATGAAACTCTACTATTAAATTAGATCTGTTTTCAATCAATCGGGATAAGCTGGCAAAATACATACACCAACGTACATAGATGACCGAGGAGCCATTATGAGACATCTTTAGAATAATTAAGAGAAATAGTTATTTATGTATTATAAACTTCAGCTTATGAGAGGTTAAAATAGTATTTATTTTGAATTGAATATCTTCTGAAGTTATTAAACGGTAGATACCTATTTAAGAAAATGTACTAAAAATACATGTATTTTTTTGACATTAATTTTTATCGTTTTCCATTACTTCAATAAGATAGAATATATGTTACTTTTGCTCATTCAAAAATGTGGTTAAAAAAAAGAACAAATCAAAGCGTAACAAGTCATTCGATTCTCTCATTTGATCATACGCAATACGCAAAGTGATAGAGATTTGGTGAATCAGACCACATAATTATCATAATTGGTAAACCAGTATTCGATTCATATTGTTATGTTATTGACGGCTCTTCTGGTACCGCTATGGAAAGTAAACAGTTAAAATATATACCAATAATCTTTTTCTATTGATTTATACCTTCGTTGGAATAATTTCTTAAATCAAAAGGTTAAAAATTCCAACAGAAGATAGTGTCTTCATATCAATTACTTTAGTAAGTAATTATATCAGGTGGTACCTTTATAGATGTACTAGGTGGCAAATAATATTTTGCCAGGGGGGTACCGCTATAATTGCAAATAGAAAACATAATGAATTTTATATAAAATGAAAGCTCGTCAAAAATGGGGTTTATTGATACTAAGTAGTAAGGATTATGAACACTTTTTTAAAATCGAACTTAAGAAACTTTCAGAAATTTTATACTTTTTTTGTGGTAGAAAAGTAAAGTGTCAGTAATTGAAAAATGGATTAAAATGTTTTTCTTGGATATTTTTGCATGGTTTGATAGAGCTCGTCGAGCTCTACAAAACTGTATATATTAAAAAACTTTTAAACAGACTTGTTGGGTTAAAATTCACTGAAAACTATCTAAAGAGTGTACCTAAAAACTCGCATTTTTTACACTTTTTATAGGAAAACAATATGGTCTTTTTTACACTAAATTCAGCTGTTTTTCATTAGTATACTTATGTAAAATGTTTAAAAATATGCTCATTCGATGCAGCATAAAAAACTACATCGAATGAATATATTTCGAAACATCTGAGGAAGTAAAAATAATCAAAAAAAAGCAAATTTTTTTGAAAATTCGAGTGTTTTTCTTCCACATCAAAAATATGACTTTTTAAACGTTTTTTAAGATTTTCCAAATAGTTTTTGGAATTTTTTACCATAAAAAAAATCACTCAAAAAATTTTTAATGTATACAATTTTGTAGAGCTCGACGAGCTCTATCAAACCATGCAAAAATATCCAAGAAAAACATTTTAATCCATTTTTCAATTACTGACACTACTTTTCCACCGCAAAAAAAGTATAAAATTTCTGAAAGTTTCTTAAGTTCGATATTAAAAATTTTTCATTATCCTTACTATTTAGTACCCAGAAACCCCATTTTTGACGAGCTTTCATTTTATATAAAATTCATTATGTCTTCTATTTGCAATTATAGCGGTACCCCTCTGGCAAAATATTATTTTCCACCTAGTATTGTAATCCATCATTGCAAGTTTTTTTCCTGGTTATTATTATCTCTTCTATCGAATTCTGATCACTTTTTCATTTTAAAACGAGAAAAACTAGACTCATTCAAGCAAAGATAA